GGATAACTTAAGACTAAATTCAACCCTTTTTGAACATTTTAAATATTCAAGTGATGCCAAAAATGATTGAAAATATTGTGTAAAGCGATTCTGACTATTCGTCATTTGTTTGACTGGGCGGTCCGTAGTCACTGTCTAATGTACGTTAGTCGAATCTGTCAGTCCTGGTTGCCCAGAAACCAGACAATGTCAAGAAAAATGAGAAAGGGAAAGAGAAGAAAAAATGAGAAGAGCAAAGAAAAACAGAAGTGGTTAGTTTAAGTGGAAACACCTGGGCTTTTTGACTTGATACGCGTATTAATTTTGAGGTGAACTAAACAAATTTTGATTCGGTTTTGTTAGAGTGTAATTTTAATTTTACGAGTTCGCGCAAATTTTTGATTACAGTGCGAGTCGTGGCCGACGAACTTGCTCCACTGTGTAGTCCACTTGACGCATCGGAGGGTTGCTGTGCGATTCCGCTTGACTATAACGCCGCTGCGCCTGAAGCTTGTCATAATCCCTCAAGTAAGGAATGTCAAGGTCTCTGCCTAGTGTCTCGTTTGAGACATACCATGGAGCATTGCAAATTGTTCGCAAAGTTCTACTTTGCAGTACTTGAAAACTTTGCATGTGTGTCTTGGCAAGAAAACACCAAGCCGCACATGCATAAGTAATGGCTGGTCTAATAATCATTTTATATAGTCGAACTTTGTTTATCAAACACAATTTGGAGGATCTACATAACAAATGATATAGTTGCCGAAACGCAATTTGGAATTTTGTTTTCAAGGCTGCTGTATGTTTTCGCCAGGTCATGCCTTTATGAAGGGTGACACCGAGGTGCTTGGCAGAATTTGTCCATGGTACACGATTGCCGTCTACAGAAACCTCTGCTGGGGTCTGCGCGACGATTTTTGGTACAATAAATAGCCTGCGTTTTCGAATGATTAATTTTAATCAGCCACCGTTCCGCCCACTCTAGTACTTCTTCCACCGCACTCTGCAACCCATCGTGAACCAGATCACCAGTACACAACTGGGCGACAAGTGCAGTGTCGTCAGCATAGAGGTAGACTTCACAATTGCTGGGGCAAGGAACATCATGGATAAAAAGCGAATAAAGGATTGGCCCTAGGACCGAACCCTGAGGAACACCGGCTCATAATGGCCGTGTTGTTGACAAAACATTGTTAATTTTGATCCGAAACTTCCTTCCTTCAAGAAAGGATTTGATTAATTTTAGAAGCCAAAAAGGAAAGCCCTTTTGGATTAGTTTATAAAGGAGGCCCACGTGCCACACCTTGTCAAAGGCTTTTGAGACATCCAAAAGCAAGATGCCAGTACTCACCCCGAGGATAAAGCGTTTCTATGATGATATAACTTGCCGATTGAAACAGATAAGATCGTTTCAAGCATATGTCAAAATTTTATCAAAATCTGAGTGTCACGTTTAGAGTTCTAGAGGAGTCACGGATTAGCGGACTGGTAGACAGACATGCATATATTCATACAAACTAGGTGATATGCTTCTCGTCATATACACGTCACATAACATCCAAACAACGAAATATCGCAATTTCAAAATTCAACAATATTTCCCTGACCTTTGCCTCTTTCTAAATTTTTTCGCGATTACAATACTTTCCCGCCAGTAGGCGTTTTTTTCAGTTGGTGCAGTCGGGCTTTTTGTATTTTTTGAAAATAACTAACATACTCTGTAGCACCTAAATTATTGATCCTACAGTAAACAAGTATATGACATTTGTTGTAAATTCAATGTACATTATTAGGATAGCAGGAGATATCACACTGATAAACACAGAATTTGTAACATGACAATTGTATTTTGAGACCCTTAAATCAAATCTAAAACAGAATTTATGCGATGACGCACATGTATAATGTTAAGACCTGTCTATTCCTGTTTATTATATCCGAGCTCCATGTTTATTAGTAGACTAATATCATCCGAGTCAGTTACGTTTTCTGTGTTGAAGAGTACCGAGATGTTCTGAGTACTGTTAATTTCTGTTAAAACGGTGTGTTGTTTTTAGTTTATTGTGATCCAGACTAGCTTTATGGGCAATGTCCAGAAATTGTGTAAATAGTGTCTGCGGAGAGCTAACTTTTAAATCCCAAAAACGTACTTTGACTTCCCTTGTATTGAAAGCATACGAACTTTACTTTGGAATTAAAGTTGGCGACCAAGATAAACTATGGGTCCCTCATATACCTATGTTTATGGGTCCCTCATATACCTATGTTGTAAGATTTGTGTAACGTTGTTAACAGGTTGTTTAACAGGCAACAATCGTAAAATGCCCTTTGCGGTACCAGTGGTTTGGAGAGTACCGAGAGACCATACTACTGATTGCTATTTTTTCCTCACAAATATTAAAGGTATTGGACCAAAATAGAAACATACTGTTAAGTATTTTAATTTACCATCAGCTTTACTACCCGTTAAGCATAGTGATGAACCTTCTGTCCCAGTTTCACCAGAATCTTGGTCTTTGGATGAAAAAATCGAATCCATCGATTCTGAAAGTGTTGGTACAGCAAGCGTAAAAATTTCCGATCCTTCGTTTGACCATTCGATCACACAGGGCGAACTTAATGACTTAGTCAGAACTTTTAGCATCAAGATTAAAAGGATGGAAATATATAAGACAGCTTTATTTCTTACACACTATCACTCACTACCATAAATTTGTAAACACCGACCAAAAAATTAAACATAATCATTATATCAGATACAAAATTCGTGGCACAGTAGTTCCTCAACCGCATAAATCTATAATGCAGCGATCATATCTCTATTTAGCGCCTAAATTTTATGAAATTATACCTAAAGACTTAAAAGATTTACGTTTCGGAAATTGTTTCAAAAGAAATTTAAAAAAGTGGCTACATTCTATATGTAGGACTGAAATTCATAAACTCATAAATACGAACATCAACTAAATACATAATCTACTGTAGCTAATTTTTGTCCTTTTTTGTCATTTGCATTCTACAGTTTCAACTTAAATTATTGGTCCATGTACAGGCGATGCCTTCTATTGGGCCTGTTTTGATTTTATATTTATTTACTCATATTGTTTGTTATCTTTGTACATTGAGTAAATAAATATTATTATTATTATTATTATTATTCTCCACGGTGAAGTTACATTACTTTTTACCGAAAACGGCAAAAGGCCTCACACACTGTTTCCGTAAAGAAAGGGAGTCGATATATTGCTCCGCTGTCAACAATTTGTTTGATGCGTTCGGACAGAAACATGATCCAAATGATTATAATATATATATACAGGGTGTCCGCAAAGTTGGGGTTTTACTTTTCAGAAACAACTACCCTTGAAATAACAAAAGTAATGTGTAGTGAAACGAGGGCGACCAAGTAAAACAAAATAAAGGAAAAAGTACTCACTCTCCAGTTGACGAGAAGGGCTAAGTACGTCTCTGCCCGAAATCATACCGCTCCAACAGAAAATGAAATCAGCTGATGCGCTACCGAGCAGACGCAGGCAAACAAGGAAGGCAAAATGTTGCGTAATGACCAAACATGAGTGTTGCGAAAGTTATTCACCCTATTACGCGTGAACGTAGATTCGTCTGTCACCAATATGCACTTCAAAAAGTCCGGATTATTGTCATGTTGATGCAACAACCACTCACAAAACCGCACTCTTGCTAGAAAATCGTCAGGTTGAATTGCTTGTACACGTTGGACGTGAAACGGATACAGCCCCCTCCTCACGCAGCGTTTGCCATACTTTAGTTTTTGATACTTGCACTTCTCTAGCCACGTCTCTAGTGCTTGTTGTTTTTTGAAACGCAATCGATTATATGGGTTCGTTTACCTCTACACGCGTGACCGTAACCGTCGGTTGAAGGTTGCATACTGACCTGACACACTGACCCCGACCCAGTTCTGCCGTCGGGTTGAGACCTTGTACCAATCGGTGATGTCCCGGGTCGCGGCTACAGGACGGTATTCAGATATTTTTGATGTTGCAGAGCCCTTTATCTCGGTTCCCTTAAGACATTGGTGTATATGGTAATAAGAAAAATTGCTTATGTTTTCAAGATCTACACGTCGTGTAAAGGAAAAACCCAACTTTGTATATATATACATATATACAGGGTGACTTTGAAGTTGAGTCATTAATTTTCAGATAATGATTGTAGAAGGAAGATAAACCAAAATATGTGTGTAAAAATAAAAATAAAAATTAAAAAAATGTTACCTTGTTTTATAAAGTATCCTCCCGACAAGTATTTCAGTGCGGACCTGTATTTGATCGTGCGGTCTTGGAGCACCGGCAGGCCTCCCCTGTAAGGTCTTAAGTCTCCTGATTCACGAGCCCTTTGTACTATATTAACAAAGGCACGAGGGGTTGGTTGCACTCGATTGGGAAACCGATTCGCACAAATCCGTGATGCCGCGGCAGCATTTTGTAAAGACTCCCCGTAAATAAGAATCATGTCCACAAGTTCAGCATTTTCGTAAACATGTGCCATTTTTTATTTCGTTTGAGCCACGCAACAGATACCACTATTCACTCACGCGATACCGACTGAAAACATCGTGATAAACGTTTCAAATTCTTTCGCTTTTTTGTTTCCGATGCGATGAACGGATAACGCGGATTATATCCGTTGTTGCCAAACACGAGCACATAATATTATTATTGAGACAGCGCGGTACTCAAACTTCTAAAGGGCTATAACTTTGTTACTTTAATTTTACCAGAAAAATTTTAAGGTAAAAAAACATTTCTTTTGATCAGATCTACTCACTGTTAAAATAAATGACTCAACTTCGAAGTCACCCTGTATATATATATATATATATATATATATATATATATATAATAATCACCTTATTTTGACCATGTCACAAAAAATTATTGTAATTTTGTTCACCAGTGTTTTTAATAGTTTACAAGATGCATGTAAAAACTTAAAAATAGGAATACTAGAAAATTAGTAATGCACATTTTACGTTTCAGATGCCTGAAGATGTATGAGACTTAATGGAAACTAGCAGTGTCTTACCAGACACTATCGAGCAACAGCAATGCAACTATTGCGGCACCGTCTTGTGGTTGTGCGTCTGCATCACCACCACAGTGGTAACAGTGCTTGGAAACGTGCTCACCATACTCGCCATATTACTCAGCAAACGGCTCTCTTCGATGATGGCTAACTATTTTGTATTCAGCTTAGCGGTTAGTACCAAATTGAACTAATAGTCAGCGTAGTTAGTTGGTACTTAGCCGTCTATGTATCCAAATTAGCCTCAGAAAGGTGATACAATACTAAAAGGCGACTTCCTCGGTCGAATGTCACACGCTTAATGTTTAATGTGATCGGTCAGTATTTATCATGGAATGCGATATTTATTGACCGTGTAGTCTTGATGGCAGTAATTATCAATGTATAAGGTTGCATCGAAATCCACTAACAGAATCATCAGTACATCATATGCGTTTTTAAGCAAAGAGATTGTTCAAAAATTCTAGGAAGTCAAAAACGGAATTTAACAATGGAGCATTTTCAATCAACACGCAGAATATATTAGACGCATCTTTAAACTCATTCTTTTGATTTCTTAAAGCTTATGTATAAACCTACCAATATCCGGTCATCTATGAGAATTTGTAACAGCTGTGTCTATATACTTTGGAAAGGTTAGTGCCTCACAGATGGCGCTGTAGTTAATCCTATGAGCATATAGTCAGCGCCATCTAGGAGACGCTAACCTTTTGACATTATTTATAGTAAATAGCTACGGCATCTCGTTAATCAATAATACAACATAAATACAGATATTTAGGAGTAAAGACGATCAAGATGTATGAAAGTATTCAGTAAAATCGAGTTGATAAATTGACGTTAAATTTGTTCTGATGCGTTTATTTAATAATAAAAAACGTATTTTTTTTCATAAAGGCAGTATACAGTGTAAAATAAATTGAGTGTCAGCTTCAATCAAAATCAAACATTTACTCAATCATTCAAGCACAGTAGACCGTACAACTGTGATTTTTCTAATTGTGAAAATAAAAAGCTTCCATGATGATGTGTGATTGTGACTAAATTTCCCACATTATTATTGCCTGGATTTTTATAACATTTAACAAGCTAGCTAGCACTATGTTGTTACTTTTAATATTTTTTTATTGTTATATGCTTAGACATTGTGTTCTATAATAATATGGGGGACGCAATTAAAAATGCATCTCGAACATAGTTTATGCATTTTGTGTTCGTGCGTTGTTTCTATATACATTTCTAAGGAAAGATATATCACATCGTATGTCTTTCAGTAACCCAATTAATTAAAATGCTCCAAACCGAAATTAGACGACGTTATCTATATGATGCGGATCATGTCACTATATCCAAAGCGATTTAAATGAACTTTTACTGCTGGGAATCATCGTTCCACTACATGACGGAATGAATCCAGAGGGACAATAAGCTCAAAAATTGACATGTATCTAACGGTAATTATGTAAAGCTGGAGCTATTCGCTAAATTAGACACGCAAGTGCCACATTAAATAAACACAATTTAAACAACGAACTTCATTATTCTAATGACTTTTTGTACTCAACGTTGGGAATAGGACATTACACACTCATCTGTATAGACAATTGTGAATATATATGTCCAGTACGTCAGCATCAAGTCTGAACCACACTGCGAAGAGACGTAAAAAGGACCAGGCACAAAACATACGCAAAATGGGTCTCAGTCGATTTGTTTAAAATTTCAGTACGATATATTTCTTGACTTCCCGAATAAAAGTGTCCTTGGGACCAAAGCAATCCTATGATTAAGTTTCTGAGAAATAGGGGGATACAGTTTGCCTCATTTGCAAAATGGCGAATGAGTCAATTGCAATTCTCAGACCACAAACTCGGAGAATCAGTATGCTAAAAGAAATATTCCGTTTAAACACCTTCGAGGAAGGTGTTGGGAGGTGTCATGTTGATCGAGACAATGACCTTTCAAGGTTAGTTTCAGGGAAAGTTGATTTTTATATGTTTATGCTAGATGTTGTACGAGAATTGAAGGACGTGTAGCTTTTCAGGGGCACAGATTAATTCTTACTTTCAATGCATTTGTAAATATTCAAAGATTATTGATTGAATCCAAAGCTGTTTGTCTTAAACAACATATTTAGATTGCAAAAAATGTAAGATCAGATCCGGATTACACAGGATTCCTTTCGTATGGTTGTACGTTTACACTCCATACGTTATTCAAAGCCCTTTGTTAAAAAAACTTTTCTAGAAAGTGTCTAGATTCGTCTATGAAAACGACTTTCTAAGTCAAGACTTCTAAACTTTTCAAGCAGGGCACGTACTTGTATTAAGTACAGGATATCTTGATGTCACTGTATAACTATTAGTTCATAAATACTTGCAGACACAAGATGAAAGAGAACCATATGGTATTGTTGTCCTCATTTAACTCCGTTTCATTCCTTTCTGCTATTTGCTGATCCTATCTGATCCTATGTTGAACATTGTGTGAATCGGTAGCCATGGAAGAAAACATCAATTTTTGCAATCAGTTTAAAGAGAGAAAGCTTCAAAATTGATATTTGCCAGATTTGTGAAGTTCATCCTTTGAACAAGCATATTTGATTTGGGGATTTTTTACAACTAAATAGGATATTGAGACATCAAATATGTGCAAAAAAGCTAACGGAACACTGTGAATCAGAACAGAAGTTACTAAATTCTTAAACAGAACAGAAACATCTGTAAGCTCGGTTATTCAGACAATGCTGCGAAACTATAAAACAGCTTGGCAATATATCTCAAAAATCTAAGCCTTTGCAATTAAAAAAACCACTGAAAGCCGACCTCCTGCACGAACTAAGGCCTAATATATAACGAGAGCTCGCTACGTTTTGAAGGATAATGCTTCAGCATATTTCTTTTTATGTCGCCTTGTTCTTTTTTTGCGTGATTGTGCATTTATAAAAATAGTATTGTTGATGTCCTTGTATGTCCTATTTTTTATTGTATATTATTTTTTATATATTTTGTATATGGCTTTAGTTGAAAAGCAGCTTAGGCTGAACTACGTCATTCATCATTTTGTCATTGCATTGATTATTTTTTTTTTCTCTTAAGTTACCTTGAATGACTAACGATCATTTATTATTGTTATTAAATATTTAAGTGACCACCATACCGTGAAAAGCCACTGAATGTAAAGTACAATAATCCTAAAATAAATTATCATATTCAAAGTTTACAACTATTTTTTTTTTCAAACACAGCGATTGTAATTTATTTGATTATTATTCTCATATTTTCAGATAGGCGACCTGTTGGTGGGTTTTTCTATCCCGTATCACATGCTGTTCTACATGATTGGCGAGGACTTCGGCAGCGGCAAGACCAGCTGCCTACTTCGCTTTGTGTTTACCTCTTTTGCATGTTCTAGTTCCATTACCAATTTGCTGTTAATAGCTATGGATAGATATGTGGCCATCGTTTATCCGCTGCATTATGGTAGCTTCATGACCAAGAAGAGAGTCTGCATTTTCATAGCAGCAAGGTAGGTTGGTATGAGCAATAATTTTGATCTTTTGTTTTGTTCACAACCCATGAGAATTTTACCAAGGCGTTATAGGAGTTATAGTTTAATTGTGGTGAAAGCATCAGGAGATAAGTTTTTGCAATTGCTGTATGCCCTAAGCACAAGTAGACTAACAGGCGTTTTTAGATTACTCTGTTTCGAGATACACCATAAATATGTTGATAAAAGATTGTAAGCAGCATTATCAGTGTGCGATCGAGTTGGAGGATTAGGTGACCTCTAATGTAGCAAAAAGGGACAATCTAATATTTGATTTTTTCGATAAAAACCAGAGTTTATCCTATTCTGCATCCACTAATAACTCTGAAGCTCACGTGCAGTAGAAATATAGATGTACACATTGACAAACATATTAGCAAAAGAAAATCCGGAAATAAATTTGATTGGCAGTTATTTGTAGGATTTGCAAACATTGGGTGCAACCAGATAACTGAAGTGCTGCAGTATTAATTTCAGTGACAATCTAATATCAAATCAAGCTTGATATCAAATTGATCTAACATTCACCGCTAGAGCGTACAAGTTACCTCCATGCAGCTATTAACTATAAATGCCTGAATAGGAGTATCTACGGAAGTTTCAAAATCTGATATAAGCAAATAAACTAAGTTTTACTTGCCATGGATTCAGGAAAGATACTAGAGCGAAAAATAAAACAGAAAATGAGCTACAAGCATGACTGTGTTGAAATATTCCTATATAACATACCCCTAATATCTAACTTTTTGAGATATGAGTAAAACAAGAAGATAATCTATTCACTCAAAAGCAGCTTTCGTTCATTTTTGTTAAGTAATGATAAGCGCGTTACACTTTAACCGAATTCTAAATTCACGCATATATTTCAATTTAGAATTTGATTTACAAGCTATGATTTTCCAGTACGACCACTTAATGAAAGAAAAAATGGTATACATGATTTTGTTGTTGCTTTTTTGTGATCATTAATATTAATGAACATGTTCCATCTCTATATTCTCCTATCGAATTTATGTTACCACATCACCAAACTAAAAATAGCCTTACTACATTAAAAATTCTCTGGCAGCTGGAATGTGTTTGTTCTCGTAGATTTTTACTTTAAGTTTCTTCATTCATGTTTACAACCAAAATTTGTGACTTAGTGCAATATGAAACATCCCAAAATATTTATAAAAATAGGAATATTAGGGAAAAATATCAATAATGAGTAAGCGAAAATAGAATTAGCAAAAAGGAGAAAAATTACTGCGTGTTTTGGATTTTGTCCAGTAAAGTGAACTGTAATAAAAAATAGATAGATGGATAGAGAAATATGCCTTATTGTCTGAGAATTCAATCATTCTAAATGACATAACTCACTTAAGACCAAACTATGATATAATTACATACAGCTTAAGTAGGTGAATTGAATTAAACAACACACCAATCTACTTTCAAACATGGCAAAGTAACTGTTTAAGGCTGTACTTTTCCCTACGTTGTAACTAATTGTTCCTATAATACGGAAATCTTTGCTAGTTGAGTAAGCGTGTATTATTTCATTTTTTGAATTTATAATTTAAATGTCACACATTTTCTCTTATTAACATTGAAAGTCGAGCAAATGTCACACCATTTTTTTAATCAATTGTATATAACTCACAATTTTTCTCACTCAAGTCCATTCATAATACTTGTCTTGTCAAAGTATTGTGGTAGCGTCCGCAAAAACTTTTTTTACCATTTTACCATTTATGCTCAAGTTTAATAAAACGTTGATATGGACTAAGAATAGGATCGGCCCTAATACTGATCCTTGAGGTACCCTTGTGTTATATATATTTTTATATTTAATGTATTGCAGCTGGGTGACAGCAACGACAATGGCCTCGGTTCCCCTAATGTGGAACGATTGGCACGAGGGTGTCAGATGCGAGTTGGTCCACGTGGTGCCGCACAATTTCCTCGCCTGGGTGGTGTGTCCCACGTTTGCACTCATATGGACAGCCATGCTGTTACTTTACGCGAGGATATGTCGCGAGGCGAACGGACACGTCAGACGGATACGGGAAACTACTAGCTCCCAAGATGGACAAGTTATGTGCGTGTCTACCAGAGACTCAAAATCATTCCAGGTAAGAAGCGGAAGACATGTTTATGTCTCGCCGTTTTGTCCTTTAAGAGCAACTATTGAGATCTTGAAGTCTATTATTAGTAATATGAAGCTAACGATTGCAGAATCAGCCAGTCTGGGAACGTTGACACCTACAGTATGTTCATGAGGAAGTGTTAGATTAATCGACATTGTCACTGAAACTGTCTAAACAAATCAAGTTGATATTTTCGATTAAAAATCATCCATTTACTGTAAATCGCGCTGCTAAAATGTATCTAACAAAACCTCGTATACCAAAGTCCATCAAGTCGTCGTACCTCGTGAAATTGAATTATTCTTATCCATACACATACAAACGCGCGAAAAACATAACCTTGCTTCTGAGGCAGTCGGATAAAAAGGCACAGAACTACAGTATATTCAGATAAGAGATAGACCGGATGTAAACAAAAGGTTCGGGTGATTTTCACGCTAACGCCGCCGTCTCGACGTAAAACAGGAACCCTCATTGGTCAATTCGCAATTAAATGCCTATGCCGAGCGGCAGAGCAGTCGTATCAAGGCATCATTGCAATTTGATATTTCTTTGGACGTTTTCGTTTGTTATCTTATTAAGTTGTTGAGTTTGTCGTTGTTATTGTTATACCTTGTTATTGATTGTTATTGTTATCAACTGCTTGCGCAAAATGCCCAGTAGTATAGATACTGCCGATGAAGTTGTAAACTCCTGTAGTCCACCTAGGAAACGCTCTAAAAAAAGACGCCTGAGTGCAGAAATGAAAGAGGTCATTTTGAATATATATAAGATCGAGCGCGAGGAGAACGAGGCATCAACCATCAAAGAAATTGTTGTGAAGGTTTCTCACAAAGTTGGGGTGTGTCGCGCATCAGTGTTTAATGTGTTAAGACAATACAAAAAAAGCACACCTTTTCTGAGCCAATGACCAGTAAACATCGCAAAAGTATTGTTAAATCATTGGATGAAGCTGATAAGCATGCGATTAGGAGGAAAGTGCATGAATTCTTCTTTAGGAATGAAATACCTACTATAGATAAAGTACTGCAGGAGGTAAATGGAGATACAACGTTGCCAAATTTCAAACGATCAACTTTCCATGCGTTACTCCTGCAAAGGTTACTTAAGCATTTAAATTTCAAATGGAAAAAACGGGGTCGTAATAGTTTACTAGTGGATAGAGAAGAAATTGTGCTATGGAGGAGGGATTATTTAACAAAAATTGGGAAATATAGAAATCAAAATAGGAAGATTTATTACCTTGATGAAACGTGGGTAAACGCAGGACACACTACAAGTAAAGTATGGGTTGATGATTCTGTAACTTCATCCAGGAGGGCCTTTCTAGATGGACTGTCCACCGGATTAAAAAATCCAGCAGGTAAATACGAGTAATAGACAACAATCGGATGTTTTTCAAACCTTGGGAACAAGGTTCTAAACATTAATTCCAGGGGGCAGATAAAACATATTACAAGTAACAAAACTTTTATAACTTTCGATAAAATGCGTGGATGTTTTATTGTCATTTTCATTTGTTAGAACTTTTTTAAGCCATGTTTTTATGTGTTTTCGATATTTCAATAATTTTTTAATATAATCTTAAAATATGTCGAATATTATAAACTTAAAAAAAGTTACGTTTTATATTATGTACCGTTCCTAATATTTCTAATCATTTTAATTCATACTTTAAGCTTTATAAAGTTATAATTTGTTAATATTAATATTTGCGCGTATTTCAGGTTACTGATCATTCATTTTTTAAAGGTTTATAACTTTAAATTAAATCGTGAAGCGCTGAGTAATCATACGACGTTCAATATTCTTTCTTTCAATATGACTAAATAATCCCAATTATAGCAATCTGATACTCATGTCTCAATGTTTTTTCGCTGAATGTGATGAAAACATTTGAAAAAGGTTCGCTTATTGAAATAAATCTACACCAGTTAGTACTTCGATTTCCAGGTAAAGGGAAAAGGCTCATTATCTGCCATATTGGCAGTGAGAATGGATTTGTTGTTGACGGTCTGTGGTGCTTTGAGTCTAAGAAAACTGGAGATTACCACGAGGAAATGAATGGCGAATCGTTTGAACAGTGGTTTTCAAAAATTTTACCGAACTTAGAGGAAAACGCAGTAATTGTGTTGGATAATGCACCTTATCATTCTCGAAGAATGGAGAAGGTCCCAACAACGGCTTCAAGGAAAGTTGATGTTCAAAATTGGCTCCGCTCGAAAAATATCAACTTTGAAGAAGCAATGCTGAAAGTACAATTATTAAGAATTGTCAAGGATCACAAGGCGGAATATCAAAAATACGCCATTGACGAAATGGCAGCAAGTCAAAATAAAACTGTGCTCCGTTTACCTCCATACCATTGCGAGCTCAATCCCATTGAGCTCATATGGGCAGAGGTTAAAAATTATATAGCTAAGCACAATACAACTTTTAAATTTTGTGACCTCAAAGGACTTTTCAAAGAAGCACTAGAATTAATAACAGCGCAAAAATGGGAAAACTGTATTAAGCACGTGAAAGACAAAGTTGAAAAGAGAATGTGGGAACTGGACAATATTTTAGAGGAACAAGTCGAGCCATTCATAATTGACGTTGGTGCTTCAGGCAGTAGCGATGATGAAAGCTCATCAAGCTCATCTTTCCAATAAAAGATGTCGTTCATCAAATTCGGTAAGTTATAAGTAATTATAAAGCTACTGTATTTTTTAATTAATTATTGACATTTTTGAACCCATTTTGGCAAAACCTATTCAAGAATCTACTTTCTGACAATGTTCAACCATGCACATTTTTTTACGTTTTGAACGTTTTAATTTGGTTACATATTTACCTAGAAATCAAAAAATATACTAATCAATATTCTAAAAGCAATTTTAAGAGATATACGATTATTTTTAATTTAGGCTAATTTAAACGCCATTTTGAGATTATATTCGACTGTATTTCACCAAACATCAGGCGGCATCCGAAGCTGGAAATCGAAGCGAAAATTTTGAAACCCTTATGTATATTTACATCATTATATATTTCTTACCCCACCCCCACATGATCCTATATCCATCACAAATCGTATACACATCGAATTGTGCTAATTTACTACAAAGTTACGCAAAGCAGCATCTACTATCTAAAATATGTACTGCGTGACTCTTAATACGTCCCTGCCGAATGTTACAGCGTTCGATGATCACGTGGTCTTGTTTATGTCCGGTCTATCTCTTATCTGAATATACTGTATAATAACCTCCTCTAATAATCAAGTTACGTTGCAAGTATTGGATTCTGCTTACTGCTTATCCAGATGCCTAAGTTGGGGCAAGAAGCCGGAAGTAACACCTTCTGTGAAGTCGCCGTGCAGAAGGCAGAATTAGGTACCAATCTATTTGATAGTGCAACTCTTTAAGCAGCGTGTCTAAAATATAATATATGTGCCTGCAAGCTAAAAGACTTTCTCAGGAGCGGAGCTTACAAAAGAGTATGTGAGCCACAATAATAATGTCTACTACCATAATTACATTAGATCATGGAACCAAACAAGGAAAGAAAATCTTATGATGCACCAACGAGCAGGATTGTCTATATGGTACTATCTATATTAATAGTACGATGGTATTTTGGTACATACATTTATATTCTATGTTTTTTGAATTTTATTTATTTTATTTATATAGTTATCACATAGCGATATTTTAATCTGTGCCTTCCACGTTTTTTCAATGTTTGTTTTTAGTTAAATGTTTGTTTTATATTTCATTGTTTGTTGATTTTGACTGTATATACTGTGTGTTATCTACTTATTTATTTATCTTCTGTATATTTTTTACACTATTGTTTCTATTGACGTGTTCTATGTCATCTTATTATGGTCTAAGAGAACTAATAAAGAAATGAAATGAAATATTTTAGCACAAAAGGCGTACCACCTATCTAGCCATATAAGGGTAACATATAGTCACCTTTATTGATAATGTGCCTGCGACACAATCTTCCTGATAGGTATGACAGTATGTCTACAGCCTCAATTTTTGACAATTATTTTTTCTAGTTGACGCTGATGATCCTAGGCTGTTTCACCATAAGCTGGATACCGTATTTCGTAATCACGCTATACATCCAAGAATTAGTACCCAACGTGTACGAGATCTCGCTTAATTTAGCTATGGCCAATTCTAGCATGAATCCACTCATCTACGCATGGAAAAATACGAACTTCAGGAAGGCCTTTCTCTGTCTGCTCAAGTGCCGAACGCCGGACGACAGCCCAAGGTATGTATACGTACCTATGTCACAGTAACTAATATGGTAATCTTTTGGCAAGTGAATACAGACTGCCGGATAATAATAGATCTCGTAAGGTAGCAGTAAGTCTAGCATGGATATTAGTTCCCCAAGACGCCTAACCGAGCAAGCCAAAAGGTTCATCGACTTCACACGACTTTGAGCAGCTCCTGACAGCCTCAAGCTTCACTACTTCCCTCTTACCAAGCATTTGTTAGAACGTAGTTAATATTAAAAATATTCCTTTAAAAAATGTTAATCGGTGACCTTAAAAAAAACACTTTAAAATATTTCCACTTCTACTTGCAGGTATATTACTGACCACGTGCCTAGTAAACGCGGTTCGATGAACAATATCGCCGACAGCGAGAAAAATGAATCCTCGGAGATGAATAAAAAACAAGACAAAGCCGTATTTTTTGCTAATCATTGTAGCAAAGGAAGGTACGATTCTACATATGAAACCGTTATAAGTATTAAGTGAAGATAAAGGGGTCGTATTAAGGAAAATGTGTATATGTACAAAGCAGACTATTAGGGTGCAGTGGAGAGAAATGCAATGAGCAGTGAAAATATCATTAGGAAGGTTGTTACTACGACTTTAGATACAAATGGTACGATAGTCGATAAAAGTTATAAACATGTATCGTAAGTAGACTTGTCAACCGCTTGTATTTAGTTTGTTCACGTTGTCGAGTCAAAGAAAAAAGTAATTATACAACACTCGCGATTTGATTGGGTTGATAAAATTGTTACAAGTTGAATTTATAATATTTGTACAAGTATTTGTGTAAAGCGATGCATATTTATGTATATTGTAAAATAAATGTGATACGTATTTCAATCCACAAAATTTGCAAATGTAATAAAATTTTGATCCAATATTGGTTTTAATTGCTATCTCACTGATAGGTAAAAGTTGCAAACGTTCATAGTCCGTCAAAGGACCTAGAGCAATATTATGAAACGACATGTTCGACTTTTTAGAAGCAGACTTAAAATGGTCTCTCGCCACAAATAGGCGGAAAATAGAGCACAGAATCTAATCAGGGAATATCCAAAACAAAAACATAATTCCAGCCATTTTTTGTGAATAGCCGAGTGGTTATAGTATCGTGCTGCTAATCAGTCGACTAGAAGGCTCGCGGGTTCAAATCTCCGCTTCGGAATTTTATTTCGAACAGTGGATGTTGTTTTGTGTATTGTCTATACTATGCACCAGATCGGTGCAAGATCAACCAAATCGCTCGAGTTGGTTGATTCAATAATTAGTGACAGCTTGTGGAGCAAGTAGTACGAGTTGGTACTACGGGGTGGGCAAAAGGGTCAAAGGTGGCCTAGTTGCTAGGTATCGCCTCCCCATAACCACCACTACTACTACGCAGCCATGTTGAAGTGGAATCTAAGAATAACAGTAAAAGGAACAATTTGCAATTATGTGAATATATCTGAGATATCTCGATACCGTAAACTATAAACTATATATTAACGTTATATCGGATTTTACAATAGGAACTTGACAACTTTGAACTTTCACTGTGAACGCACCTTTAAATAATTTACCGAACTGTCAATGTCAAAATATTCAGTAAAGAAAACATTTTCATCATGGTGAAGAGAGTTAACGTCAATTTTTGGTCGTAATTCTCGTGCCAGTAGATAAACAATTCATAGTCTACTGAACAAATTTGAGTCCACATATTCGCTGCCGGATGTTCCCGTACCACTAAGACAACGGGTTGGTCGAAGTACCGAGAATATTGCTGCCGTTCAAGCTTCCGTCGATTCCACGGCGTTGTCAAGAATTGGGCATCGCTCAGACCACACTCTATGACGAATTTTGCGAAGAGATCTTGGCCTGCACTCTTATAAGATCAAGTTAACTCGAGAACTAAAGCCGTTCGATCATTTGAAGTGACGTCCGTTCTCGATTTGGGCTCTAGAAATGTTGCAAGAAAATCTCAAAATCATCTTCAGTGATTAAGGCGCATTTTTGGCTAAACGGCTTCGTCAACAAACAGAATATGCGTTATAGGTCAGGTGGAAACCCTCATGTGCTTTATGAAACACCACTTCATCCACAAAAAATAACTGTATAGTAAGATTTTCATGCCGGTGGTGTCAAGGGGCCGTTTTTTTTGGGGTGGTGAAAATGACCGTCACGTTACAGTCAACGGAGATCGCTACCAAGACATGTTGCAACGTTATTTTTTCGTCAATCGGATGGGCTAGACATTAACGATATGTGGTTTCAACAAGACGGTGCCACAAACCACAAAGCGGGTGAACACCTGATATATTGAAATCAAAATTCGGTGAACGTGTTATATCGAGATGTAGAATGACTGCCGAGATCGTGTGATTTGACACCTCTAGATTTTTTTGTGGGGCTACATTAAATCATTGGTCTATGCCAACAAGCCGGCGTCGTTACAGGAGCTCTTAGCCAATATTGAACGAGAGCAGAATTCCATACATAAATGTTTTGAGTATACTTCAATACAATAATAAAATTTTCGAGATATCTCAAATGACTTGCGTTGTATTTAAAAAGAAAGTTGTCAAGTCCTAGCTTTATAAGCATTTCACGCAAGGTAAACCGGTTTGATTTGGGGGGAACAAATCTGTTATCATTTGATTTTTCCATCCAGTTGAACAAAAATGGCAAATCTGCAGGGTGAGTAATATTACCATATTTTTCATTTACCTTGATATAGTTTTACACGTAAACTGTAACTCAAAAACCAGTCGTACAAGCCCCCATAAACCCCATATAAAATTTTATAAAAACGGGAACCAAAGAGTATGAAAATATATAGTGTTTCATTTGAAAATTTTGAGAATTAATCCATTTTTCGTTCATGATCATCTTGTATAAATTTTCGAAAAAAAAAAACGGAAAAAGTAAGAGAACAAAACCAGTGTTATATCAAATTCAATAATTTGGAAGGGCCTATCCGAATCTACTATTAAATGTTTAGTATTTCCGTTTAAAAACCACTTTATGAATCACCCTGTAGAGACAAAACTGTTTCAGGTCACGAGCATACTGCGGATGGCAGCTACAATTTTTGTATTCAACTTTCTTAGATACCATGCATGATACAACGGAGATATCGATCGAGCCCACAGTAAAAAATCACCCTGTATGTAGCTCAATTCCTGAATTCTTCATTAGTGTTTTTCACAGCTTAGTATCCAACAGATTCCTCTGAGCGTTACTCGTAAACGCCAAATAGTTCCAATGAATAATACGATATCACACAGCATTCAAGTATAAAGCATGCAAGACTCACCTCAACACCAGTCACACCCAGGGCTTCCTTGATGTTTGGCGTCAGTCTGAACGGCACTTTTTCCGGCACTCGTAGAGTCTTTCCTTTTTCGAAGCACACGTTGTAGTCAATGTGCACCACGTCACCGCTAGTCAGATCCACCAGGACGTTGTCCAAGTGCCTGTCTCCCAGACCGATTATGTAGCCGATCATGCTCATCACTGCGACGGAGTACGAATATCTGAAACGGAATACAAAAAGAGGGCGTCAAGTAGGTTCATTCTATACTCCCCACGCAACGCTGCCATCAGTTCACACAGAGTTATGTTTGGCACAAGTTAGGCTCTCTTAGTAAGATGTTCACTAAGAATTTGTATACCATCGGTCATGTCACTTAAATAGGCCCATACGATTAGTTTCGAGTCTATATCTATTCTTTGTTTGTATAAGATTTATTTAGCATGATTGCTACAATTACATTCTTTTAAAAAACTAAACAATTACATAACATACATATATTTAGAAAAACAAATCTTCATCTCTAAGAATTTTCACTGTCCATGAAATATTCCTTTAATTATGTTTTAAACATCTTTAAAGTAGACTTTATATTATTATTTAGTTTATTAAATTCAAGTAATCCTTTCTGAAATATTGATTTGCTGGTTCTATCACTATTTATATTAAAAAAAATTGCAATTTTTTAAATGAAAATCTATATTTCTTCTTGTATAGTAATTGTGGTAATGATTATTCAATTCGATGTAGTGTCCTAAATGTTGTGGCAAAAGATGATTTTTAATTTTAAATATGAAAATAAGATATGAAATTTTTTATATTCAACCACTGCAATTCTTTTAACATGGATTTTATCTTGGTGTACTTATTTTTGTTCAATATTATACTCTTAGCTTGATTTTGCAGGACTCGTCATTTTGAGGATGCAGCTTCATTGACAGTGAACAAGATAGTTGTACAATATAGTAAATGAGGTAGAATACTTGAATTATAAACTATTTTTTTGGAATATATACCAAGACCATGAGAAGCTCTACAAAAGTAATTTGTTTTTTTGGCAATTTTTGAAATAATGTATTCATAGTGATCCTCAAGCTTTAGTTTACTATCAATATATATGTTACATATACCTAAATATTTAATTGATTCAACATTTTCAATTATTTCACCATTTATCCTGAGTGTGATAGTATTGTCATTTAGGTATTTCCCTATTATCATTCATTTTGTTTTAGAAGTATTTAATTTTAGTTTATTTACATTTAACCAATTTATGACTTTTGCCAAGTCAGAACTTAGCATTTTTAAAATAGTGTCTATATTTTCATCTGATATGTATATTAATGTATAATCTGCAAATATTTGAATTTTACAATAATCTAAAATATTACAAATGTCATTAATATATAAAATAAATAGCAGTGGACCTAGTTTACTACCTTGTGGTACACCAACAGAAATATTTTTTGACCTTGATAATGTAGATCCAATTTTGTTTTTTTGACTTCTGTCAATTAAGTTGTCGAATTTTGAATACATATCCTTTAAGTCCGTAGTGATGCAAGTTTGTAAGAAATAAAAAAAATTAAAGATCTATTCGACAATGTTGCGATGCAAAGACTCCTCTGTTATAGCGACAGTTCCGACCAACGAATTCAGACTAGGTAGAAGGAACCAGTCAAGTATTTGTTCGTCTCCTAATTCTCATAGTGAGGAACAAAGTGCATACTACAAGTGCGCTTGACATAAGTTAGTTTTTTGACAGCTCTGTCATTTAATTCATATTTTTAATGTTATTTTTTAAAAGTGTTTGAAGGTTATTGTGGTGATAGACGTTTTCAACACGTGGTACGTACTTCTTACATAATTTGCAAAGAGCAGCACAAGCCTATTGAAGGTAGACCAGTCCACCAGTAAGCATTACTATCGTGTTTCTACAGTGGTGTTACATTGGTAGGCATTGTTAGATAAATGTGTCAAAGGTATGTACTAAAGCTACGCAATTAGCGATAATATTTCTCCATTTCAAATTTTAAGAAGAAATGCATGGGGATATCTGCGAGTCAAATATGTCTAAAAGGTGCATAGAATTACTATGGATGTTTTTTCTTGATGTACATGTTAAAACATTCAAAAAACATAATAGCTCGTTTTCGATTTTTTTCGCGATTATAATACCAGTAGGCGTATGAAGTAAAAAGAGTGATCGAAAGAAACATAAAATTTCCTATATCTGCAAAATCTTCGTCATTCTAGTGATGGGTAATTGAAGACTTTGGTGCAAAACGGTGTTGACCCAATTTTTTTCGGACTTGCAAAAACGTGTTGAAAGGGTGCTTTTTCGGTAGTACATCTATCCGGCCAAAGATGACCCTCAGTTCTTAGATACAGAGATTCACAAGAGTGTTAACTATATCAAAAACTTCAATCTGTAAACTTCAAAAGGTGTTGCGTTATAGGTAAAAAGGTGTTAACTCAAGAGTTAACACTTTTTTGCACTCGAATTTCAATTTGTTTACGTTTGAACACGTTTCGTAAGAAGTTTTGTTCTTCTGATTTTTACAGTATTTGGATTGCTTTTTTAAATGGATAAGGTATGTGAAGTGAAGTGAAAATATTGTCCCAGTATCTATCTTTACATACAGACAAATATTTGTCAATGATTTCAATTTTGGATTTGCTTCTCCAAAGACTGATACAATGTACTGTTTGCAATGTAGGATCGATGAGGAACATGTTGCAAAGTATAAAAAAGCTTTTGACATACAAAAATCTGATCGAGGAATAGCAAAAACAAATGAAAACATGCCGAAAATTTCTGCAAGTAAATCCTTCTATTTACGACAACTATAGTTCAACAATCTAGCAATACATTTG